AGGGGTTGCCCCTGCCACCCCCCTGGATACACCCCTGGTCCCGACGCACACTAAAAATCTGGTTATCTCGGCTTCTGTTGTATCTCTAGTGAGTCAACCAACGTTATGGAAGAGCAACACTAAATCACTGGAGCAACCCTGTAATGTTCAAAATGGTTTATTTAATAACCCAGTTTGTATTGCATTGCTCTGTTTATCTGCCGTTTTTCTTTTATATGCTTTGGCAATACCAATGTATTTATATGTCATTCTAATAAAATACACTGGTACACTGCTTTATAATAACCATCATTAAGAAATTGTACATTTATAGTTAATTCAACTTTAATTATTAGTTATTTCACTGTTAACAAACAATGAAATGATAATGACTGATGTTTACTAATTATTAATAATGCTATAATCAATGTTTTTTACTATTAGTTTGTATAATATAAAATAATTTAATCATAAATTACATATTGTATCAAAGCTGTTGAGAGATGATAACAATTGCTTCCTGATTACTATTCATTAACAGTTCATTGCTGCATACATAACATTTTATACACTATATGAATTATTTGTGAATGATTTCCAAATGATTTGTAAACTTAAAATATATACATATACATAAGCATTGCATCGATAGATGGAGCAGATTTACTTAGTAACAATTACTTTCATTGGTTTTATTGTTTTTTAAAGTTGAATTAACCATCAATTTACCATTCACTGATGATGGGTATTTTAAAATGTTACCAGTGCACTGAATTAGGACAAATTATTTTCAAATAATACATATTGGGGTGTTTTCTCCAGTCTCAGCAGTACATTCACATATGGGAAGTCATGTGTACAATAGTCCTATATTGTGAAATATTTCAATGATATCTCTGGTATATTAGGAAGAAAGGTGTGTACACTGTCTCTGTAGTGCTTGTGTATTTGTAGCCTCCTTTATCATAAGGGTGAGAGAGGGGGTAGCCTCTCTCTCTCTCTGTCTGTTCTCTTCTGTCTGCTCTTCTCTCTCTCTCTCTCTCTCACTCTCTCACTCTCCAGTCCTCTAATAGTCGATCCACGAAACTAGGAAGCAACATCACCGCTTTATGATCCGCGCGCCGATCCGATCCGAGCCTACCGAAACCCGGCCCCGGAGCCGCCTTCTCTCTCTCTCTCTCTCTCTCTCTCGTTCTCCTCTCTCCCTCTCTCCCTCTCTCTCTCTCGCTCTCTCTGTCTCTCTGTCTCGGTATACACCGTTCGGTACCGGCTCTTCCGCGTATAGATGTAGACTGCAGCCGGAGCTCACAGTTGTCGCCTCTGCGCCATGGAGGACTGCTGCTCCCCAGAAAGCGAGAGGATGGAAGCGTGGCTGGACGACCACTTGGAGTTCACCCACTCCTACTTTATCAGGAAGGCGTCAAGGTAAAAGAGGACGGAGAGGAGGGGAGAGGAGGGGAGGGGGGGCTGCCACTCAGTGTGGACATTAAACCTGATGTACTTTGTTTGCGTGCAGCGTGCTGAATGAGAGTAGTTTCCAGAGGGAATCTCTGCAAATAAACTGCTTTTATGCGCAGCCCCCACAGCCAATCACTTTCATTTCCTCTGTCAGTTTGCATTGCTTTTCATTATAGGGATCACTTGCACTGATCCTATCTGACAGTCCGCTCCTGTAGGAGTGACTGTCGGGGTCCACTGTGACCTGGGCACCCTGTGTCCCCGCTCAGGTGGTCTACCTGCAGAGCTGCTGTCATGCACTCTGTCTCTCTCCGCTGTTTCCTCTCACAGCTCAGCTCTATTTCATTTCACCATCCACTTCACAATCAGGAACAGCTCCTAGAGTTACACAGGGGCCCTTTAATCATTAACTTTTACTGCTGCCAAGGATTCTGTTTAATTCTCAGCCCAAAGAGGTCCACGGTGATAATCATACAAGCCTTCCACTTAGGTGCCTGTGCCATAAATGAAATTACTTATTTCTTTTGCTCCCTTTAGATCTCAGAGAGCATGGCTGGGAGCAAATTAGCCATTTAATTTCTTGTGCAAACACAGATTCCAAATCAGTCTTTCTCAGGCAGCAGCAGCTATATAAGGCTTTTTTTTTGCAGAGGCATATCTGGGAATTTCATCAGCCTGGCAGCACTTGATCGGGACACTCCAGGACTGTGTTTGTTTTAGTGACAAACCCCTTCAGACCCATTTAACCACTTAAACCACCATGGCAACTTCCCTTAGTTTTCTTTTCATCCGGTAACTGCAGCACACATATCTCAGTGCCATCCCAAAATATTTTCCATAAAAAGCATTGTCAGAGGACACATTTTTTCCCTCTCCTGCTGTTTTTATTACGAAAGCAAAATAAAAAAAGAAAAGTTGATTGGCTCGGCGCAAGAGGTTTGCACACATCAGCCATTCTGCTGTTCTGGTTGAGAGGCATTTCTTAGAGAGGTATTGATTCAGCCACACCTCCACTGGATACATTAGGGTCGGCTCAATGGGAGATGGAGTAAAGAGAACTCAACCTGACACACTGCAGTAGAGTTTGTTTCTCTGCCCGAAGCCCATATGACCCGTTGGGTTCTGGCCCAAAACTGCTTCTGTAGGTCAGGCTTGGGTCGGGCTTGGATGGAATAATATTTAAAACTATATGTAATATCTTATTAATAATGCATGCAAATGTAATTAATGAGTGAATTTGTCATTGATTTGTTTGGAAATCATTTAGCTAAATAATGCACATAGTTTATTACAGACCACACCAAATAAATTGTTAAGAACAGATTACATCAGAAATTTTAAGTAACACAAACAAAACTTTGTAAGTTAAAAAAGATCCTTGATTAGGCAGCTCTTACTAGTAATTTGATGTGACACTTTTAGGCACACATTCCTGATTAAGTACTTTTTAGTTGATATTTTGTTTTCACAGTACAAACACAGTCATTACAAAATTAATTACATTTTTCAATTTAATTCAATTTCATTTGTAAAGCGCGAATTCATAACAGAAGTTATCTCAGGACACTTTTCAAATAGCGCAGGTCTATACCGTACTCTTTATAAAAATGATTTACAGTTCCCACAAATTAAGTCAGTGTCACTTAAAATTACTAAAGCTAACTAAAGTAAACTACATTGTGCATATAATTACAGTGTCTGTAATAATCTATTTGCATTATTAATTTATTCATTTAGTTATTTTAAGCTGAAATGTGCGTTTGGGTCAGGCTCAAAACTGCTTACATTAAAAGGGCTTGCATAGAATCTTTTTGGGCTCGGGTCGGTGCCTGAGCCCGATCAAAGCTCTACACTGCAGTCAAATAACGGGCAATTCTCTGTGGCTCACCAGGTTTTATTTACCTGGCTCAGAACCCAAGATACCATGGGTGATTTCATGGCCTGCGCCTGTTACCATCTTCCCAAGGTTTTGGGCCTTCCGCTCAGGTGAACAGAGGCTTTGGACTGGGCTGAATAACAGCAGAATGAGTCATGAGACCTTGTTTGAAAACTAGAGCCGGAGCAGAGGAGAGCATGCTGGAAAATGTGTGTGTGTGTGTGGTGTGTGTGTGTGTGTGTTCGTGCGTAGGAGTTGATTAACAATTGTGTTGGGGATGTAGAGAGCTTCTCCGTATCACATCCAATTTACTGTTCACCACACAAGACACACACACACACACACACACACAACATACATACACACACACTCACATTGGATTTGTTCCAGCAAATATCCATGTTAGGCACTTGAAGGGGTTTCAGCACACACAGGCTAAATGAAGAGATAATAACATAATATCCACAGTGCCTGTGTTCACTTTTATTACCCATGATCAGTCATATGTTAGCTACAAAAAAGATTTTCATTTTTTTAAATATTCTCCAGTGATGAAACTGTCTCATCAGTTGTGTTCTCATCAGCTCCCACGTTTGCTGTCTTCCTGCTGCTACTGCTGAGACATGTTGTTACTTAATGTCTAAATTCACAAAGTTTCATTTTTGCAGCTTTTGTAGCCTTGTAAAATGTTTTCACATGGATATAATGTGCAGAAAAAGTGAGAAATCCTTTTCTCAGACAGGAAAGGACTAGTTGAGGAAGATGTGACTTGCAAGTGGATATATTTACCTTCATCTGCGGCAACCAGGACTCACAAGCTTTCTCTTGTATATTTTAGCCCTAACTATCGCAAA